TTGTAAAATTTATTAAACTTTAATCAATTTCTGCCATGGCCACAATCATTTTCATATATAACGATATTGAAAATTTCATTATGATAAATAATAAAAATACTGATGCTTAATAATTATTAAATAACGCGATAACATATCTGAGAATACCTAGTAAAAATTATTATGATTTACGCAATGAACGTCGTAGAATAAATATTTGATTCTTATATAAGAAAATGCTAGTCTGAACCATGCATGTAAAAATGCGACTAACAGGTGAACTACATATAATAGGTTAACTTACGAACTCATAAATAGATAAGATGCGCCATATATAGGTAGTGACAGTAATGTATTAATGAATTGTATGAGCCCTACTTCAAAGAAGAATTTCCATATTAATGTGACCTTTGACAATAATTCAAATCGAATATAACATTTTAATTTATTTTCCCGAAGTAGTAAAAAATGCTATGTGCATAGTAAAATTTACCGAGCTAATCACCTACATTCTATTTATGGTAGTAGTTACTATGGGTTCCAGTAAATTTTACTATTTTACATAGTAAAACTTCCAGCATTAAAATTTTACTACGTTAGATAGCAATTTTTATTAGTCAGAGTATATCCCACGATTACTATATTTCATAGTAATTTTTAGTACGATTGGAGGCAAATTTTATAATATCAATACTCTTAGAGTGAATTTGATTTAATGAGGAAGGGAATGTTATATCATAAACTAAGGTAACACAATTGCACGTCAAAGTACCTTACTACAAAAATAATCGAATCAACTGTCCCTTTATCGCAATCTCGTACTTTGAGTACTTAGTAAATAAGCAACAGGCAGACACAAGTAAGACAGTACAAAGTAAAAGAGAAAACAAAGCAGACGAAAGTTCCGAAGCGAAATATCATCATAAACTCCGATAACACTTTCATATTCTTTCCTGTGCCTGTGCTCAATCTAAAGTTTTTCAAAGATAAATATTTCCTGTGATACTTGCTGTGTATCCGCCAAGGAAAAAAGAACAAGCATTCGATTCTACCTGTCCGAGAATACATAACATACGTTCCTGAAACTGTCGTAAAATAAACAGTTGGACGAATAAAAAAAACGTAGATGAAACTTTTGCGGGAATAATCGTTTTTTTTGCATAATCATCAGTTGCTCGCGTGTAATTAAATTTCGCAACACACAAAGAGACAAGTGGTTGTCTTTCGACGAATTAATGATAAAAAATAATGGCCGCGTCACGCGTGCCCCTCATAGCGAATTTAAACTTTATACGTTCTCAGGAGCACAAGAGAGAGAGAGAGAGAGAGAGAGAGAGAGAGAAAGAGAGGAAAGGAGGGGGGGCTGTAAAATGAAATTTCATTTATTTCCTCGACAACGACGTCCCTAGAATGGAGGGAATTCTTTCGCTTCCACCTCAATTTACACAATAATATAATGGCCCATTGTTTTGCTTCCTTCATAGACAAAAGGAGAGAACTCTTCAATGAATGAAAATAATAAGAATGATAAAATATAAAGCGCACGAAGAAGAAAAAGGGGGGAACAGCGTTGCAATGTTTTTAACATAAACTTTATATACTCGATCATCGAACACGAAATCGTCCGATTTATGATGTCAAGAGTTGTGCAATCATTAATTTGTTTATGATATCAATATTGCCGAGGCTATAAATTGATATTAATGCTTTCGATAATGTATACGTGAGACGACCGATGAATGTGTAAATTGCAAACACGCGCAATTAGAATTTTTACGGCCACGTTTATCACGCAATCCCACATACAAAATAAAATGCCATATAGTCGTAAAAAAAGCTGCTGAATAGAATAATAGACAGTAGGACGCAATTAAAAAAATAAAAGAACTTCATTACGAAAGTATTCTGGAACGAAGAAAGAGTAAAAAACAATACGCGAGCTGTAAGCTGATTACATTATTCGAAATGCATTCGCTAGCATGTAATAATTCATGCAGAAATATTTTAATTCGCGCAAATGAATTACGAAAAGGAAAAAAGCGAAAGAGAGAACCTGAGGAAATCCCTTTATCCATTCGAACGAAAACGATTTACAAAAATAATTACTCTTGGCGCGGAATCCCATAAATCGGAGCGTGGAAAATTAATTTTTGCCTCCTTTACCACGCGTCAAACAATAAAATCGCTTTCATCGCATAAATCAGGATATATCTCGTTGAACTTTCCGATGAGTGTATAAAAAGTTTCTCTCGTTACTTCCGGTCTACCCAAAAGAAGGAGGTGGAAGGAGAAACACAGTACGAGAGAGAGAGAGAGAGAGAGAGAGAGGGAGATTGGAATCGCTTGCGAAAGTGAAAATTCAAATTCAAACCGGATAGCTCTCTTTGTTTCCCCCTTCCCCGTGTGTTTAATCGCAGCCAATTAACGCCGCTGAGAAGATGAAATAAAATTGTAACCTTAACGGAGTTATTCGAAAAGGTTGTCGAACTCGCGACGATGCCAGCGTCCTATTTGTTTACCCTCGCGTATATATGTGCGCGAATGTTCAAATGCGCGTTTTATCTCTTTTGTAATGTGTTCGTTCACACGCCCTACGTACACCGCGCTCGCGTACAATTACATCCAATTAAAGTCGCGCTTTTTCAAATTATGGAAAAACGCAGAGCGCTAGTTTCGCCAAGTCTTTCAATTAATCGTGCCACAAGTATACAAACTCCCTGTTTATTGAGAGTTTTGCGTTCTAATGGCACGACAATTTTTACACCACGAGCCGAGTGACATTCAATTCGCGTGAATATTTTTGAATAATCGCAGCTTTCAAATTTTAATGCCAAAGTTTTTTTCCGGCTCCCCTCCCCCCTTGATGGAAGGGAAAATATATTCGCGGTTTAAATTGAAGCTGACTGGCTTGGTAACGATTTTTTGCTGTCACCAGCAGGAGAAACTTTTACAGAACGTAAATTAAGAAGAGGGTGGAAAAGTTTGCCTTTTAAATATTTGCTCAGCTTTGGAATTGATAGATACATTCGAACAGTCGATTGAGAGGAAATAGAAAAATTGAAAGGATCTCCATTCATTTATTTTTCTTCACGCATCTTTTTCACGCATTCCCAGAATCATGAGTAGTAAATTTAAAAAGTTTACGACAATTTTAGGCTAATTGGAAAAAATCCTATGAAACATTTCATTTATTATTTTGACGCAGGTGGTGGCGTCTTCCTAATGTTCGTCGCTCGTCTTTATCGCGATCAAATTTCATAGCAGTTATTGAGACATCGATGATCTTAAATCAGTCTTATTTTGGAAGTCGGTTAAATAATGTTGGAGTATCAGTGGGCTTTAATCTCTCAACATGAATCTCGTGTTGTTTTGTTCGATTTTTATGGCTTGCCTTCATGCAAGCTTACAGCAAAATACTTTTATTTCTTTTAAAGGTGCAATGTCCAATGGTGGATATTGATCAGTTAAAAGATTACCCATACATGTTGACGATCTTATCTTACATTTTATATGATGCATGGATCATAAATAATCGTAAAAAACACAAAAGCTTTACTAGTACTATTATGCATTTTACATTATATGAAATTCTATACAAAATATCTCTGTTAATATTTCAACTGAAACAACAGATCTAACATTTTTTCTATTTCGAATTACATTCTTATAGTTTTTATAAAGCAGCTATTCTTTACAAATATTGGCTAATACCAGCTGCTCATTACGTTGGGCACGTTAAAAGTATTCAAATTAATGCTCCGCATTCGATCGCAGTTAATACTATATTCGCATGTCCTATTCAATTATTGAAATATAACATTTATTATTATGAGATGGAATTTGTTTGTTGCAGAGAACCAGCACTGACCAGTCAAGTTCGCTTAGGAAGTAGTGCAACGTTAAACAATGGGCATTGACATGGAGAAAATATTTGTCCATGGTACACTTATTCAAAGTTTGCATGGGGTAATGACATCGCTTTAGTCACGATAGTGATACAATGAAAATTATATTACGTATAATTCGAACATATTTACAATATTTCTGACTTTTTCAATTAGCTTGAGACTCCTATTGAGTTTAACCAGTATTAACAGCCAATCCAAATTGGCTAAACAACTACCTAAAATTGGTGAAGAACATAAGTATACTTGGATTTGGTGATTATCATATAAACGAATTTTAATTGGTATTTAAGTAAGTATTAGTTAATGTATTATCGAGTAATGTATTTTACTGATAGGAAAACCTTCTTATAATAAATAATATTATTATTGACTTGTGTATTGTTCCAGCAGGGCATTTTACGATACAGTTTAAGAGTAACTTGTGCACTAGTCGTGCACGACAAAGATTGCTTCGACAGTTTTGAGTCCAAAAATTCGACAAACATAATTTATTTAGGTGCCAAAAATATACATCTTTGTTTTGGAGACTAGGGTGACCCAAAGGTACACAATAGTAAATTGATCGATATAATTTCTTAAGAATGCGAGTATACAAAACCACTCGTTTTGATAAAAGTGATAAACTATTATGACTGGATTTTGCAGATAATAAGTATTCAATATATATCATAATGTACACTTCAACGAAACTAAAGTTACCAATGAGTAAACAATCATTTCATTATATTTCGAAATTAATTTCAGACGTGTAAATAATAAATCAACTATTTTGTCTTGCTTGTAACATTTCAATAAAAAGCAAATAAACATTTCACATTATTTTTAACTTTAATTTAAATGATAAGGTCTTATTTATCTTTATGCGATTCTATCGCGTCTATGCAGAGCAGTTATCATTTTCAATTGAGTCATCCTTCTTTTCAAAACAGTCTTATCCGTGTAGACTCGTAGTTAATGTTAGCATATCAGCAGTCTTTAGTCGTTCGATATGAAGTTCACACTATTTTACTCGATTTTAGGAACATTTTTCCATGACTCGTGGTAGTTGTTTAACAAATCAACTTTTTTAAAGCTTCATACAGGTCTAAAATGTTACATGTATTTTCTTTACCAGATGCAATGTATAATGGTGAATATCGGACAGTAAAGGATTATCCATATATGGTTAGAATCTCATTTGAGATAATGCTAAATTATAATAAATGCTTATTATAAAAATACATATTTATGCTATTTAATAATTATTGATTGATATCACGTGAAAATATATACGATCATAATTAATAACACGATTTTATTTTCCAACTAAACCACTAGGTCCAACTTAATTACGATTCATATGGCGAGCCAGGTCTAGCATGCAGCGCAGCCATTATTTCCGATTCTTGGGTAATAGCAGCTGCTCATTGCGCTCAGTAAGTTGCAATATCACGAGTATTCAAATCAATGCCAACGACGGTTGGAAGGTTGATAATACATTTGTGTGATGTCATGAAGATAAAGCTTTCTTTCCAATATAAAACTCGTCAATGTAGAATAAAAGTAATTATTGAAGGTTCGAACGGGTATTGACAGCTCAAGTCCGCATCGGAAGTAGTACAACAGCATATAATGGGATTTCAATTGACATAGAAAAATTTGTCATTCATGGTGATTACTACCCGGATTTTGCATGGGATAACGACATTGCCTTAATCAAGGTACTGATGATACGAGAACCATAGATTTACGTATCGTTAGAACCGTAAGGTAAAGGTATACCTTTTTATTCATTCCCTTGAACCTTCTGAATCAGCTGAAAAATCCAATCGCTTTCAACGAATACATACAACCAATACAAATTGCTAGAGAGCCGCCGGCAATTGGTGACGATATAAGCGTACTTGGCTTTGGTTATCATCACGTAAGCGAATTTTTCATTTAATCCGAGATGTTTCAATTATAATATTCAATTTCTTGTTTTATTTTTCTAATCAAAGAAAACATTATGAATACTTTAAAGATAAATCACATTGATAGCATTTATTATTTTTTAGCATCTTGAAATTGGATCGGGTTTAAGAGCAGCTCATACTTCAATCATTGAAGATAAAGCTTGCTTTGAAAGTTACGAATCGAGATACACAAAAAACATGATCTGTACAAGCATCAAAAGTATAGATCTTTGTTATGGTGATTCGGGTGGTCCAGCAGTACACAATGGTAAATTAATCGGCATTATTTCTCAAGGATGCGAGTATACAAAGCCGAATGCTTTGACAAAAGTGGCAAACTATTTGGAGTGGATTTTGCAAATAACGGGAATTCAATATACAAATTAGTAACTGCATTCTTCGAAGTAAAATTACCAATAAGCGCAAAATTATGTGATTCGTTAAGATACTGAAATAAATATGATTAATAAAAATAATTTATTCCTTTATTAACGACAATGTGTTCCTAATATAAAACTTTTATTTAATTTTATAATGAAATCTTATAATTTTATACAAGTAAAAAATATCTAGGAGCTCGTTATTTTTTCATTTCTTGTAAAAGATGTCGTTTTACTTATTTCTCATACGTACTAATCGATATCAGTAATCAGCAACGGTCAATATTACATTGAGATATCATTTTTATAGTCTAATCTGACTTACTCTGAAAGTCACTTATTGTTAGTTAATGTTGGCACATCAAGAATATTCAGGCCTTCAATATGATTTATATATTGTTTTTATCTATTCTGGCAACTTGTTTTCGCGTGTTAATTGGTAAGTTTTTCAGTAATCTGTCAATTTACATGTAAAATTAAAAAAGAGATTATTTTTTAAGATGCAATGTACAATAGTGAATATCGGTCAGGTAAGAATCTTATACTCTAATTCACATAATTAAATAATGAAGCGTAATAACAACTTATTATAAAAAAATATACATGTTGTGATCGTAATTTTATTGTAAAATTTTATTTTATTTTCTAACGGAAATAATAGATCCAACTAATTATGATTTTTATTGCAAGTCATCCTACTAAAATTAGGTAACATCAGCGGCTCACTAAGTTCGATAATTATCGGCAATGTATTATACGTATTTAAATAAATATGAATTACGCAATATAAATTGTTTCTGTATTTGTGAGAACGTAATTTATTTGATACATTAGTACAAATTATACTTGATTGTAGAAGATTGACGTGACTATTCGAAATTAGAATTTGACTCGAACGTAATTGCAACAGAAAATGGCATTTTAATTAACATAAAGAAATTTTTGGTATATAATCATTCTGCTCAAACCACTTTACTTATATAAGAATGATATTTTCTTAATCAAAGTATTGTATATAATAAATAAAAATTATATTCGACCAAATTTAACTATAATTATAGTAATTTTTGCACTTATAATTTTTACATTAGCCGAAGACTCCAATCAAGTTTAACAAGTACAAACAGATATTTCAAATCAGTAAACAATCGCCAAAAATTGATGGTAACATAGCGTAAGTACATTTTTTAATATAAGACTAATGCTTACAGGTCTATCTCTGCAGCATTCCACATAAACGTCGTCCTTGAAGTAATAAGAACAACAACAATAACAATTAAAATAACTACTTTGAAGAAACATGACACTACTAAAAATATATTTTTTTATCGTTTTAGCATGGTTTCTGTAGAGATAATTTGAAAGAAACTCAAATTGCAGTTATCGAAGAAAAAGCTTGCTTTCGAAGTTACGAAGTCGATGTATTAAAAAAAAAATGATCTGCACAAGTGTGGAAAATATATATTTTTGTTATAGTGATTCATGTGGTTCAGCGGTACACAATGGTAAATTAATCGGCATCATTTCTCAAGGATGCGAGTATACAAAGCCAAATGTTTTGACAAAAGGGGCAAACTATTGCGGGCAGATTCTGCAAACAATGGGAGTTCACTATATAGATTCATAAGTATTTAAACGAGATTAAGTGTTTAATCATTTGAACTTCCTAAACAATCGAAATAAATAACAGTAATAATATAAAAATATTCTTTTATTAATATTATTCTTGTAGCTCCCTGTATGTCGATGACAAAAGATTTCTCCACAAAACGAATATGGCACTCAGAGTCAGAAAAATCAGTGATAAATTACCGCACACACGAAAGATTCGTAGCCAACAAAAGAAACTGATAGTCTCTTTGTCCAAAAAGAGCATTTCCACAACGATTGGCGACCATGAAAAGTTCACACATCAGCTGGCACATCGCGAAAATATTAATCCAAAAGAAAGGAAGCGAAAAAAAACAAAAACATTTTGCCGTATCCCTTTCAAACGTAAATGTGAAAGAGAGAGAGAGAGAGAGAGAGAGACGAGAAGAGAGAAGAGTATAAATAGGCACGGCTGCACAACTTAAAAGCGCGCGGAATTCGCAGATGTAAATCCCAATCGAGGGGTGAGCCAAGAACAAACTAATATAGCAGAGCACCCCTCAAAAAATTCTAAAAGCATCGACAGATGCCAGGGCTCTCGCGAGAGTAATGCTCGCAATTTCTCTCCCTCTCTCTCTCTCTCTCTCTTCGTTCTTTCAATTCCATCTTTTATCCAATGACAGCGCTCATTCATCCAACTCTCAATAACATATATATAGTTTCTTTTTTTCAACAGAGAGGGCAATAACGTTGATAGCCGGAAAGAGCGTGGAATTCAAATTATCGACGAGAAGAGAAAAAAACTGATATTCCAGCTGCAACTCTACTCCCTTGAATCTACCTCGTCCTGTTTGCGTACACGTCCATGGAAGATGCAATTTTTGTCGCGCCGCGCGCGTGTGCGCATTCATCGCAATGTGGAAATAGTGCCGAAGGGCTAGGCGAGGCTTATTATGCTGTTACGTTTTTTTTTCTTTTTCCTTTGCTCGTTCTGCGTGTGCGTCTGCTGGGGACGGTGCAACAGCGGCGGGAGAGTTTATATTAGCCGTCGCGGTGAGATGATGTTTTGATGCGGCTGTCGGCGGTTCAAGCCTTGAACGAAATATTGTAAACCCAACGAGACTTACTGATTCATCTCTCGGTGGATTTCTTCATCCCTTCTTTGCCGGTTTGTTGCTCTGAACTTTGACGCTAGCGTTACGTAAAGAGCGCAGCATTTGCGTTTGCAAAGTGCAGCCCGGAATTTTTCGCATCGCAATCAATCCTTTTTTATAGTTACGAGGTAATTGATGTATAAAGCAACAGCGGCTGCACATTTCAAGAAGTGAAACTTTTTACTCAAAGGAATAATTTCAATTGGCGGCGTACTTCAACGATAGCAAGTTTAATATTCATGGAATAATTTAAATCACCATTCGTAGCAAGGTGTTTCTTCAAAGGGATAACGTTATATCAGCTGTTGCAGAAGAGAAGGAAAAAGTGCATTATAATCAAGCCCATCAAGCTGACGTCAAGTTCATTATTCACTGGTGCGACTGACGTACGGACACTTTCTCGCATTATTCACTTTCCTCTCTCTCTCTCTCTCTCTCTCTCTCTCTCTCTCTCTCTCTCTCTCTCTCTCGGTGTCCGATTATTAATACCCTCCGTGTATATTATAGTCGATCGTGCAACGTAATACTGGAGAGAGAAAGAGAGAGAGAGAGAGAGAGAGAGAGAGAGGCAGCTGCCAAAGTAGGCCACGTGCTCGGCGAGAACCTGCGCGATTTCGTTCCCCTGTTGATTTTAGCCGCACTGTATGAGTTCTCAAACCTGTTACATTGTGCTATTCATCGGTTTTAGTATGTAGCTATACGTCGATTACGCAATCGAGAATTCAATTTGGAAGCAAATAATTGGAGTGTGGAATGCATAAGATGATTGGTCGCCACTGCGCGCGCTCCGCCCAAGTTGTGTTCATTTTCCTTCATATAAATACTGAATTAGTCCAATTGCAGTGGCGGACTGTTTGCTCTAGTTTCGGCAAGTACGTTAAATTACTTTTGAAGAGCGCTACATTGATCATCATCTTCCGACTGAGCCGCGCGCGCGCGCGCGCGCGTGCCGCCTTGTCGCCCAGCCAACCTCGCGCTCGCTGAAAATTCGCCACCCGAGGAAAGCAATCTGCCCGGATCGACTGCTGCTGCTGCGCTTGCGCCTGCTGGATCGTGATTTTAATAATGCGACCTCGTATGGCGGCCCACGTGCGCACACGTGGCTCCTTCGCGGCGGAAGAAAGCAACGATATTGAGCGCGCGCCGCGGAACAGGCAATGATCGTCATCCAACGTTTGCGCAACCGCGAGGATCATCCAGGCCTGTGCTCTCATTACGTATTTACCGTCTCGCGTGTGGCTGGGCGATTGTGTCATCGCAAAAGCAAACTCCTGTCTTTCGCGTTGCGCTGAGAGACCAGAGAAAGCTTTGACTACGAAATTGCATTTTCGAATCGGAAGAGAGAGAGAGAGAGAGAGAGAGAGAGAGAGAGAGAGAGAGAGAGAGATCTTCGGAGCACGCGCTAAACTCGTGAACTCGATCGAGACGGACTTGATCCTTAGCTTCGGCAAAGAAAATTTGGTGCCCTCTTCATTTTGCGTTTGTCTGTCGTGGGCGTGAGGTCGCTACAAAACCGAAATAATAATAATAATCAGTCGTCGCCGCTCGCTGGAAAAGTTGACGATTAAAAACACAAAATTAAACTCGTCGCGAGTGAATCACAATGGCGCAATTAACCGAAAGAGAGAGAGAGAGAGAGAGAGAGTGTGAGAGAGAGAGATGTATGCATAAAAGCTGGCAGCGTCGTTGGAACTGCTAAGTTAATTTAGGTTATTAACCGATCGTGAAAAGCGCCTACGATGCGCTTTACACGTCAACAGCCTAGCAGTGTGTGTGCGCGGGAGAGGATATACGACGACGTTGAATTGGGTCAAGTGAGAATAGATCAAGTTAAAACCGTTAAAACGAACGCTTGTTTTGTCTCTCGGCGAGTAGTAACTAGTACTAACCAGCGACCGAATGATCCGACTTTTCCAACGCATGCACACGACTTATCGACAGGCAATTTCATTGAAGCGTCTCTTGATTTTTTTTGTTTTAGAGTTTGACGAGAAGTGCACTCATGCGCTTCTCTTTTTCCATGAAACTTTGAAATAAATAATTAGCTCGTGACTCACGAATTGCCTTCGATCCTTTATAATGGCTACGTATTATATAGCCACGAGTTACGGAAACTTTAATTTCGATTGTAAGTCACGTTTGATTGCACTATTCAATACATTTTAACTGCGCTCTTTCTTTTTTCCAAGAAAGCTGCGCTGTTACCTCATTTTTGCGCGAATGTCTTTTCAACACAGACGCAACTGACAAATCAGCGACGAAAATCGTTGGCAGTATACGTATCCTCGTTTTCAAAC